TGGCACACACCTGTAATCCTAGCACTTAGGATTTTTTTAGAAAAAAAAAAAAACAAAACAAAAAAACAGATGTACGGGCTTTATCAAAATCAAAAACTTATGTTTCAAAGGACAACTTCAAGAAAGTAAAAAGACAACCCATAATATTGGAAAAATACCTGCAAATCATATATGTGGAGGGGCCTTATAGCTAAGATATACAAAGAATTCAACTCAATAAAAAGGAAGAAAAAGCCAACTGAAAAATAGCCAAATGATCTGAACAGGCATTTCTCCAAACAAGAGATACGAATGGTCAAAGCGATACTTGTTCAACATTATTAGCTGTTAGAAAAAAGCGTATTAAAACCCACAATAAGATACCATTTCACAAGCATTAGGATGGCTATCGTCAAGAAAATAGTGAAAAGTGCCACCAAGAGTATGGGGAAATCAGAACCCTCACGGGCTGGTGGGGGTGTAAAGATGGTGCAGCCACTTTAGGAAACAGTCTGGCAATTCCTCAAGTAGCTAAACACAGCCATACGGTCTGGTGTCTCTACGCTTACGCATAATACCTAAGTTGTAAGCACACAGGCCCGCACGAGGAACTGTCCATAGCTTTTATGCCGGATAATTCCCAAACAGGAGACTCACGTCTATTAACGCGTGACTAGACTGTATACATTCAAACAGTGGAATACTTCCGGCAATACAAAGGAATTTCAGATAACACGGGGAAAAAAAGAGATGAATTTTGAAAGTATGCTACATGAAAGACACAAAAGACACCAAATACTGAATAACTCCACATACATAAAATCCCAGGCAGAACAACAGTGAAAGAAAACAATTAGTGGTTCCAGGGCCTGGGGTAGGGGAAGGGGAATGGTTGCCAAGGGGCACGAGGAATTTTCTGGGTTGCTGGGAACATCATGTATGCTGATAGTGATCGTGGTTAACAACTGCATACATCTGTCAAAAACCCATCAAGTTACACTCTTAAAACTAGTAAGCTTTGTTTAGGTAAATTTTATCTCAACAAATCTGATTTAAATTTAAAATAGACTGTAAAGAAACCCATTCGATGGTAACAGTGGTCAGCTTTCAGTAGTGAGATCATGGCTGGTTTTTCACAGACTAACTTCTGTGCATTTTTCCAGTGCAGGGAATACGTTTCTTTTAATGCACGGACTGAACACTTACAAAGGAGAGACAGAATTTTAACAGGAGTAGCAGCAGTCTTTCTGGTTAACTTTCCCACAGGAGCACAGGGGTTTGGAAAACCTCAATGTGAGCCTGGCTTGGCCATGGCTCTGGGTTGTAACAGTGGATTAGCTTCAGGGTAATTCTCTAATTCTCATCCCTTCCAAAGAATTTGGGATTATTCAACCTAGTGTTGGATAACGACGTCTCAGATAGCTATTTCTCAGCATTCCCACCCCAGGGACAGACATCTATAAAGAGGAGCGGCAAAGCTGGAGTTCTACTTGTTTTCCTGAAGTGGAAATAGGAGAAAGCAGATATATCCCCAACCTGAAAATGGAAATCCCAAATCTGGAACATCGTTGTCCTACCACTACAAATGGTGAATTCCACACCCAACCTCATGTGACAGGTCACACAGTCTTAAAGCAGGTGCACTAAAGCACTGTATGAAATTGGCTTCAGGTGATGTATATAAGGTATACAAGAAGCAAACATGATTTCATATTTAGACTTGATTCTCGGCCCTAAGACACCTCATTACAGGATATATGCAAATATTCCCAAATCTGAAATATTTAAAATCCAAAATGCTTCTGATCCGCAAGCATTAGAGACAAGAGATTACTCAATCTGTACTTCTAACAGGTAATGGACAAACAGGTCTCTGCTCTTGTTGGGTCCTGGTGTGTACAAAAGCCCTCCACATTACGAGTGCCATTTCTGTGATCCCTCACCCAGCACTGCACAGTCCTGATAAAACCATTTCACAGATGGGAAAACCAAAGCCCAGAGCAGCAAGGCGGCTCAAAGGAATTTAGAAACCAGGTCTGGTCACCTCCCCAAACCTCAAACAGCAAGCTACCTGGAAAGTCCCTATGTCCCTCTCTCGGCTGTGGTCTGCTGGCTGGACTTTGATAAGGGGGTGCAAGAGATGACCTTGGAGAGTGCCCTTTGCTAATCTTCCTCCTGGGTCACCCACGGCCACACAGGGTGGCTCACGAGTGCCTAGGCTCTGAAGTTCATCTCCAAGTCGGAATCCTGGTCTAATGACCACTGTGACTGCAAGTTACTATCTCTTTCTGTGAGGTGGAGTTAATATGGGCATTTCACCCAGGAGACTGTTCTCAGAATTAAATGGTGACTGCGTGTAAAAGTTGTAGAACAGCACCTGGTGTCGAGTAAAAGTTCTAATGGTGTTGGATTGTTTTTCACAGGCTGTGCAACTTTTGGCCAGTGGTTACGTCCTCTGAACTTCAGTTCTTCACCTGTATAAAGGGGAAGCAAATGTGGCCCATAATAGACTTGTCTGGAAGAGCTGATGAAATACCCTACGTAAAGCTTAAACACTGCGCCTCACACATTGCAAGCGCTCACTACACGTTGGCTATCATTAGTATCATCACTGCCAATGCACGCTCCTGAAATGCCGCCAGCAAGCTTTTCCTACAGTTCAGAAAGGAAGTTTATTAGCGTGAATTAGCCTGCGCCATTCAGCAGCCTCTTAATGAGATTGGTGTTATTCGTGGCTGAGCCTCCTTATCAGCAGCGCTGTGAACTGCACAGCTCATGACGCTTAATTTCTCTCTACGGAGCCAATCCTTTAATCCTGATTCAGCCTGGCTGGGATTCCGCCTGGCTTTTGGTTGGATTGCTAGGAAGCATTCTCTGGCCTCGCTGGACCAGAACAAAGCAACCTGCAGTTCCAGGGGAAATGAGTCAAGATGCCTGGAGAGGTGGGGCCACCTCCAGGCTCAGCCTTGATTTGCATTCTAATGGCCTCAGTCCTCCACCTGCCCAGGGTGGGGAAAACACTGGCATCCTCAGTCTTCCTTAATCAGGCTTCAGCTTCCAGAAGCTGGCAGCAGGCAGGCGGGTGCCCAGGGCTTCAGGGTAAAGGACTGCAGGCTGTGAGGGTCTCGATCAAGTGACATGTTCAGGCAGTGGTCCCCAACTAGAGTGCCGCTGTTCCCCATGGGGACAGTCAAAACACCTGTGAGGACCTTCCCTCACTGGGGTGGCTGAGACCCTGGAAGCTGGCATGAGACCTGGGGTCTGTGTAACCTGTTTTAAAGATGGGAGCAAGGTTTTCTGCCTGAGGTCACCAAGGCACATCAACGGAGCAGAACTAGAATGGGGTGCTGGCTGCCACTAGGAGTACAGCCCTGACTTTAGAGTTCATCAGAAATGTTTTTAAAAGGCCCTTAAAAAGATCATGTGATTTAGTGCCCAGTATAGGGACCCGATAAGTGTATGCTGAGTGAATGAATGAATGAAGGTTACTCTGACAGAATAGCAGCGAACATTAAAGAAGTTGTAGGACTGTAGGATTTGTGCCTGTCAGGACAGACCTGGAAGAGCGAGAGGTTTACAAACAACGACAACAACAGTGAAAGAGGAAATATGAGCAGCTGCCAATTACTGAGCCATTTTGGGCTAAGCACTTTATTATTTCTAAGCACTTTATTTCTATTTCTAATACATTGCAGGTGGGTTCAACCCACAGCCTAGGGACCATGTGCTCTCTTTTTTTAAAACATAATATTTTTTAAAAAGGAACTTTTGTTACGAATATACATTAACTATATTATGCACTTTATATTCAACTCAAGACAATTTCTCTTCACTCTGTGGCCCAGGCAAGCCAAAAGCCTATGCAGGGCTCACTGTGAGGGACGGGTGGAGGGACACAGCTACGTCACCCTATCCAGATGTGTGTTTCATTTTGCAGAGTGTTAACCTGTCCCTGGGCTGTGGACTGAGGCTGGTGCTGAGACTAATTCCTGCCACTGGAATTTGAGCATCTCGGAGAGGTGTCACTTGTGGTCTGAGGTGGTAAAGAAATGTACCGCCCTTGCAACCTTCCCTTCTCCCCAAAAGCTAGAGAGGCCCCAGAAGACCTGGGGAAGGAAGGAGATGGATTCCGAAGTCACCATGGGACCAAGCAACCACGCTGCTCCCATCAGGATGCAGTGCGAGGAAGAAGTGAACGATGGGTAGGTTAAACCACTGGGAATCTGGGTTATCTTTAAAGCAAATAGTACCTCCTGATGGAATCAGGCAGTAGACTAGAAGTAGGGGCTGCTAGGACCAAAGCCTGAAGCTGAAGTCTGGGACATGCCCCAGGCAGGGAAGACAGAGACCCATACTATGTGGCCTCAAAGCATGTGACATGAAGGCTCCTAGACAGTGCTGAGCCTGAGCACGAAGCAGTGGTTCTCAGTGTGGTTCCTAGGCCAGTGGTATGAGTACTGCCAAGAATCTGCGATCAGAAGCAGAACCCCAGGCTCACCCCACAGCTGCACAATCAGAAATTCAGGGTGGGGCCTAGACATCTGCCCGGAAAAGCCTTCCACAATACACAAAGTCTGTGTACTGGAAGCACTAAGCCCAGCCTGCTCCAGGCTGCGGACCACTCTGCTCCCATCTTCTGCCTCTGCGCACCTTGATCTCGAACCACACTCAGTTCCTGCCTGGCCACTGGGCTTGAAGCAAGAGCTCCAGTGTCAAGGACGTCTTCTTCAACTTGGAACTGTCTGACTGCTCCCAAATGGCCTGAGCTGCATCCCCAGAATGAAGACCACCCTGTTAAGAGTTGACTTGGGCTCCCCATCCCGTGACAGTTTCCAGAACACTGCAGAGGGCTCTAGTCATCTATTCCACTTTCAGGAACTGAGGTGGGGCAGGGAAGAGAAGCTGCCTGCCCATCTGGCCTCTGTGCCTCCTGCCGTCCCATCCACCAGCCTCTCACTTGCACCACCTGCCCAGCCACCGCACCCTTACCTGCACTGTCTGCCCAGCTGCTGGCCCCTTACCTGCGTGAGACTGCATGTGCTCCAGCAGGTTGTTGTAGAACTGGAACTGGATCCCACAGGCGCCACAGGTGTAGGGCTCTGGGAGAAATGAGGCAGCAGGTGAAGAATGGCACAAGTCCCAAGGCTCTCTGCCAGGCTGCAGGCAGCTTTGGAAGCGGGAGCCCAAACCACCTGGTCTCCGCACTTGGAGCTCTGGGCCCAGCCTGTCTGCTCCCCTGTCATTAAACCGGCCAGGGAGAGGCTGGGGGAGGAAGGAGATATGGAGAGAGGAAGACATGCAGACAGAAGCCATTCAACTGCACGGAGCAGTTCTTTATTGAGTGCTTACTGAGTGCCAGGCACTGGAGAGGTCTTGAGAGGACGACTTCCATGGATCAGGAGCTCTCTCAAGGCACAGAATATGTCCCTTTGATTTCAAAGGGACCAGAAGAGGTTGCCTTTGAATGGCCGAATGAACGAACGAATGAACAAAAGACAGAGTGACAAACACACAAGCAGTAAAGGGAGGGGAAAAAAGAACGAGGTGAAGAAAGCCACAGCAAAGCAGGGAGAGGAAGATAAGACGGCCAAGCGAAGAGGGGCAGGAGGCGGACAGAGACATGGAGGGAGGCTGGGCAAGCCTGCGTTACCAGATATGTGTCCCCAGCACTCTTAGTAGAGCCTGGAGGGGAAGAGAAAGGGGAAGGAGAAGGAAGAAGAAAGACAGAGGGAAGGAGACGGAGGAGGACAGCTGAGATGGAACCGGAAGAGGTGTCCTGAGGCTGTCCCGAAGAATAGGAGTGGGAAGACTTGCGCGCTGGTGACCAGTGCTCAGGGCTCTGCTCTACCCTTGTCCGTGCTCCTCCACCCGCCTCAGCCCTGGACTCCTGCAGTTGCCCCAGCTGCCTGGTCTGCACAATCAGGTCAGGGCCCTGGGGAGGCCAGTGGAGTCTACTGCCTGCCCTGCCTTGCCCCCTCCAGCCCCCCACAGGACCATCACTTACTCTGCAGGAGAGGGAAAGGATTGGAAATCAGGGGACTTGCAGTTTCTGCAAAAGAGAAACAGTTTAGCTAAGTCTCTTCCAGTTCTGCCATTCTGTGATCCTCATGATTTCTCTTTCTAACCAGGGAGGCAGCTGGGGCTTTCAGCAGAGGAGGGAGCACCTGCCAGCCCCACTCACAATCTGAGGGACAGGAACGCTAGGGGAGGTTGGCACTGAGGTTACCTCCTTCAGAGAATGCAGGCTTCCTGTGAGTGCTGGGGTCAGCGGGCAGGGCAAGATCAGTGGGGGGGCCATCCCTCTAGGATGCCCCAGTGACATTAAGGCCATAAATACCCTAAAGAGAGAATGTCCATGAGTCGCCACCCACTTTGGGATTGGGCACCGGAAGCTGCTGCCAGGCGGTATTAACCACTAAGGCAGTGCCGGGGAGCTGGTGCGATTCTAAAGGCTGCTGCTCTCTCACACCTCGTCCCCCACTTCTACCTGGCACTGCCAGTGCCATGGGTCAGCGAGACTCAAACACAGCAGACAGAAAAGTGGGGCCACAGAGCAGGTGGGAAGACCTGGCTTCGCTACCTTCACCATTTGCAATCTGGGGGACTTGGGGCCACGACTGATCTCTTCCGAGCCTCAGTTTCCTCATCCGAAAAGTGGGGGTAACAATAACACTGCCCTCAACACGGTTGTGATAAGGATGAAAACAGGTAAGACACACAGAGCTCTGAACACATGCCAGGCACACAGTAAGCGCTCAATAAATGATGGCTGCCCGAAGCAGCAGCACATGAGAGGGTCATTCCCGCCGGAGTGTAGGCGCTGGTGCTAGGAGAGGCACAGGGGTTACAGCACAGGTTGGCTGGGAGCCCAGGGCACACCGGGACACTTCAATTCCAGTGTCCCTGCTGCTTCTTATTCCCATACAGTGTCAGACGACATGTGACGCCCACCCTTGGGAGGGGTTGTGGGAGTCACATTCAACATCACTGTGTTTACCAAAAAACAAAGAAAAAATTTAAATCCCTGAATAACCACCACCCAAAGCCCCTATCACCTGAGTGTGCGATCTGTGTGCTCACAACCACCTGGAGCTGTGTGTCCTTCACGCCACTTGTAGCAGAGGTGAATTTGAGAGACTAAGTCACCAGCTGTTAGGTGGTAGACCTGGGTTCAGACCTGGGCTTAGATGAAGTCAGGGCTGCTATTAATAGGCAGAAACGACCCCTAAAAGTCTGTGCTCCTGGTGAGTTCATAAAGAACCTGACAAGTAAATCATGTCCACTACCTGTCTATACCAGGACAATGCCCAGTACTGTGGCTGGCACAGACTGGCACCTAACATTTAGAGATTTCAACCATACAAGACAGTGAGTGAGTGCCTTATCTTAAGGAAACTACAGAGGCAGAATGCCTGTCCCCTCCTTCGCTGGCTGTCACCACGAAGTCTGGTTTGCGGGCCTTTCTCGGACACAGCTCCGCCAGGCTGAGCCTGGGTCTGCAGGCTCCAAGGTTTTGCCAGGGTTCTGCACGAGGCAGCCATCAGGGGGCGCCAAACACCACTGGGAAATCTCAGGCTAAGCAACCTGGGCTGTAGAGACTGGAAAGGAATCTTTGTTCTAATGGTCCCAGTCCAAAGTGGGGACAGAACTTGGGGCCTCAAGGTCTCAGAGGTCTCCCTGCTGCATCCCCTCTGCCTCTCCTGGGAAGAAATCAGCTGTGATGTTTATCTGAAAAACAGCAATGGCTCTATCAGGCCAACCACCCAGGTTGGCTGAGTTGATGCCGTGATTTGGGGAGCAGTTCCTCTCTCCATAAGGAAGAGACAAAGAGAAGCCAGAGAGGGATGTCCCTGGGGAAAAGGGCCCTTGCGGTTCTGCCTGGCCCTGCCCTCCCTCTGCTTTTATACTCAGCATCCTCCCAATAAGACCCACCATGTACCAGAAGACCCCAGCCCACGGGGCGCCTGACAATGCTGCAGACGGGGTGGCGGTGGTGGCTGCAGCGTAGAATGCCTGTCACAGACACACTCACCGCTGGAGTTTTGTGAACTGCTGTTTGTCTCTTCAAAGTGGTTTTGTGCTTTGCCTTCCACTCTCCGACTGAATGCGCTTTCTGCTGGGTGAGGGACAGGACAGAGAAAGCCATGGGCAGTGGTCAGCATGTGGTCTTGGGGAGGGGCCCGGAACTGGTTGAATACTGGGGTGCTCTGGTGGGGGAGCAGCACAGGGAGAGGGCTCCAGGGCTTCAAGATGGGCCTCATGAGCTCCTCAGGTTTGTCTGAACTGCCTGGCACTTTGTCAATGCCCCAAGAGACCCTGCTGGCAGGGACAGAGGCCCAGGTATGAGGGCGACCTGCCCAAAGTCTCAGAGATGCGATCCAAGCAATACAGCAGCTGGCAGGTGGGCCAGGGTGTCCCATCTTTGGCTCCTGGGCAGACAAACGAGTGACACTGTCACATGACATGGCCATCCTCAGCGCCCTCTATCAGATTCTGCTGTCATAGTCCCACAAAGGGGCAGCGGGGACTGCAGCCTGTTTCCTGGAGGCAGCTCTGAGAGCAGGAGGAGCAGGCAGTGACTGCAGCTCCATCAGGAGGGTAAACCCTGGGTGGCAGGAAGGGCATCCTGAGGTGGAAGGCACACGGAGGAGAGTGGGGGCAGCCCCACACCCTATAAAGGCCAGAGACCAGGAGAGGCAGTCAGAGCTCCCTCAGAGGAGGGCAAAGGGACTGGCCCCCCAGGTCTGCTTGCAGTCTAGCAGGGTCCTCTTTTTGGAAACGCTGCGAAGCAGAGAGTCCAGCCAAGTGGAAAGTCACACCCACCCATGACCTGCAGAAAGTACTGAAAAAGAAAACCCAAGTTGGAGGTAAGCCAGCTCTTCCAAGGTGCTCCTGGCACCACAGGGATGCCAGGTGATCCAGATGCAGACCCCGGGACATGCAGCTGACCCTGTTCCTTTCTCAAGGAGAAATGATTGTCACAGCTCGGAAAAGTTCCACCAGAAAAAGACCCATTTCAACTTTATTTAACCCAACCTTTCCCAAACACATCAGAGGTCCGTCTGGCAGAGCCTCATTTTAAAGATTGATTTTGTCCTATTCCACAAAAAATGGTGATCTTGGGAACCCACTTTGGGATGTTACTCTGCTCCTGTCCACCCTACTGAGAAGGGTGAGTGTGACTGCAGGTTCTGGGGCTCTGGTGTTCACTGGGGTGATGGATGGGAAAGGAAGCCAGCAGTGGCTCCTACAGGCCGGCCCAGTCCCCCCAACCCTCCACCCACGGCCCCACTGCACAGGGCCTCCCATGGAGCCTCCCTCAGTGGTTGACACTCCCTTCGAGTGTGACTAGGATGCCTGCGCTGAGTCCGAGAGACAGCATCTGTCCATTAGCAAAGAAGGCCCCTGTCGGGGACGGATCTCATTCCTGCTATGAGCCAGGCACTGGTTCAGATACTTTACGGCCATGGTCTCCCTTAGTTCTCCTAAAAGCCCTATGAGCCTACATGGTTATTCTCATTTCCAAGTGGAAAAAACCCATCAAATTCCCAGGTCTGGGTGCACGCCAGCCCTCTAAGATGGCAGAGAGACACTCACTCTGGGGACGCGTGCTCTGTGGTAGGAAAGGATTCCCTTTTCCACCTTAAATTCTCATGTTTGCAAAGGAACAGGGGCCTTCTTAGGCAAGAATTTTGCTTCTGCCAACATCTGGGTAGAACTTGGCATCACCAAATTGCCACTTCTTATTATGAGTATCCTATTGCTTGGCTGATAATGTGAATTCCTTGCCACAAAAGTGTGCCCCAGCAGATGAAGTCTCGCACACAAGCATGCTCACAGGCACATGTGGAGAGCAACACATTCGAGGATGATGAGGGCCACTTCTGCCTCCAGCATGCAGCATCTCACATCCCCTGCCACTTCCTGCTTCTAACTGGTGCCCTATAACCTGCCCAGCTGGCAAATCCAGATGTTATCCCCACCATGGGTCTTCCAAGTCCTGCCAAGGCAGCCCCACAGTTTGCTAGCAGCTCACTCGGGGACACCAACGGCCAATAACTGTCACACACGATGATACACTTGCCTCTGGGGGCAGCTTTCTGCAGAAGATGCAGGCATTAAAAACTCCAAGCCACAAAGCTCAAGAGTCCAAGCAAGATCTGAAGGCCATAATTCTGGTGAGACAATGTCAACCACCATGAGACTGTGATGACCAGTCTGCTTTGAGCTAACTTATGACTACTGTCACCAAACCATTGCCTTACAGGCCAGCTGATTCTTCTTTTGAGAGATTAAAGCACAAAAAAAAAAAAATGAAGAACTATGCCTTTGTCTCCAATTAGTTTCCTGAACCCAAGTCAAGAAAAGCATAGCCCACCACCCAGCCAGACCACCAAATAAGCTTATTCACTTGAGGTCTCGACTTGATCACTTGCATGTGTCATGGATAGTTATGGCCTTTGAGAGCAGCCAAAAGTGCCAGGGGTACCACATCACTCCAACCCACACCCCACAGATCCAGGAAGGAGGTCCAATGCTTACTCCATGTAAAAGTGTGAATCCAAGGAATCCTGAGAGTTGAGTGTCATCAGTATTCCTGGAGAAAATGACCACTGGGGACTTTTTATTGCATGTCCACCCTTTTCTGTGTGGACTCAGAAGATGTGGGAGCTGGCATTCACTGGCTTCCTTCTAGGCCTCTGTCTCCTGGAGTCATTCCCCAGGGAGTGCTAGATGGAGGAGGCCAAGAGCACAGAGCACCAGGCCCACCACTCCTCCACGGAGACCAGCTCCATGTTTAAATGAGTTTTCAGATTGATTTTCTTAAAGGTGGAAGGTGCAGATTCATGAACAGGGAGAGGATATAAATGGATGAACTGGGCTGGATGTACACAGACAACAGTGTGATCACAATGAGAAATGACACCTGCTACGGGGCCACCGTGGAGGACAGGCAGTTGGGAGTGGAGGCGCCTGGGGAAAACTGGGCAGCACATGCCCTATTAAAGGAGGCAGCCAATTGTTGCCCTGCAGGAACACGGACCCAGGAGCCAGGTCTGACTTTCCAATGTCAGGTAGAAATCAAGTCTTATGTAGAATCTTCCAATGTTCAATGGCTGGCAGTTGAAAAGGTTTTAGACCTTGTAAAGGCCATATAAAACAAGCCCGAGGCCATGATTTTGGGAAAAAAATATTCTTTGCAAAGCCTCTCATACCACCCTCTGGTTTGAGGCAAGAGAACCTGGCTCACCCTCACAGAGCTGGCCAGAGGCAGAGGTGGGTCTCAGGTTCGTCCCAGAGCATGATGGGACCTCCACTGTCACTTTTGCAGGGGAACAATGGCTGGGCACAGCAGTGGAAGGTGGAGAGAAGGTGAGGGGTGGAGGAAGTGTGGGATAACAACGGCCATTGGTACCTGCGGTCGCCTTGCTCGCTGGAGATCCCGAGTTTGGAGTGCGGAACGTCTGGGTTTGGGTGGCTGGAGGGGTGCGGTGCAAGAGCGTGGCGCATCGGACCACCGAGGCTGGAGCTTTTTTCCCCGACTGGTTCGCCTGTGTCTTCGCTGCCACGAAGCGTGGAGACGGAGTGACCTCTGGATGTGAGCACTCAGAGCCCGTGTCTGGATCATCCGGCGGCTCCCACCCGGGGGCAGCACCTGAGAGGGTCACGCTCTCAGTCCCCGAGGGCCCTTGAAGCCACGATGTGAGCAGCCTCTCAGACCACAGGTCCCTGTGTGCTGGAGACAGGACTTCTCCAACCAACCTCTTCTTCCACAGAGTGAGGACTGTCACTCCCACTCAGAGCCTGACCGAGTTTGGGAGTCTAGAACCTTCTCTGGCTTCTCCTCCAAGAAGCTTGACCCCTAGCTCACACTGACGGTTACCTGGAGGTCACTGACCAGCCCAGTCTCTCAGTGGCTAAGACCTCAGCCTGTGACCCACACCAAAAGTGCCTGGCTTTGCTACCCTGGGCCCAAGGACATTTTCTAGAATGGTGCCTTTCAGCCTTTTTGCTCCACAGGAAAGCTGGCTCAGAAGGAATGACAGAAAGCAGACATGCAGGGGTCCTGATAGGGTTGACAGGTGGGGGGCGCTGATGTGATTGTGGGGAGGGGCTCTGTAGAACTGCCATTCGCACAATGGACGGTGGCTGGTATGGTTGCAGAAATTAAGTGCAGGAGTCTCCCGGTATTTAGAAATTCATGCCACCTGACCAAAGCACCTGCCTCCCTCAGCTGAATTCTCTGCAGAAGCTGGGGTCACTGATACGGCTGACTCAGTTTCCACCTCTGGCAGTCTGGATTGGCAACAGTGGCCTGAGCCCTCACCAGTGGGGTAAGTAAACTCCTAAACCTGGCCTCTCTCATGTTAGATGCAAGAGGAGGGGCAGGAAGGGACCAGGCAGTGCGAAGAAGGGACTTCTTGGGTGCTACTCACCAGGAGACTTTAAAATCCACAGGAATAATAACATCCCATTATTAACAATGACACCATCCATAAACAGGGCCTGGTCACAGCACTGAGCCGTTCAGAAAGGTCCTGGCTCTGTCTTCCTGCCTCTGGGGTGGTGGTGAAACCTCCCAGGACAGTGCCCATCCTGGATGGGAGAGGTGCTACACACTGCTCAGAGCCTGAGGTGAGAGAACCCCTAGCCCTCCGCCTCTGACTATTCCTGCCACTGACAGGGAAGCACTGTTTCAAAGAAGCAGGATGTATGGCCTTGCCTGAGGTCATACAGGAAGTGAGTGGCAGAAAGAGGACGCCGTCTGGGTCCTGCGTCCACGACCAGGTGCACCGAGGGATGCCCAGAGCACACCTCGACCTGCTACGGGCGTAGCCAGAGGCAGGGGCAGGCAGTTCTAAGTCAGAGCTTCCTTCAACAAGCCCAGCCCAGCCCAGCCCAGCCTAAAAGGAAACCCAGCTGTCTGCGGGGAGCACGTGAAGGTACCTCTATTCTCCTCCCTTCCTATCTGTCAGACAACAACCTCGGTAACCCCCAAGTCTAACCAGAGGATGGTTTATTTAGCAGTATCCCATTTATTTGTAATCACAGAATGAACCTACTCATTCAACACTGTGCTGGCGACCAGAGTCCCTCTCTGATTTCTCCACTGTTTCCCAGTGTGAGGAAGAGTTCAGGGACCGCAGCTGGAGGCTCACTGTCATGGAGCCCTAACTGAGGTTGGAGTGAAACCAGCCCCCCTCTGAAGTCCAGCTCTGACTTCCGGTCTTGTATAGCATACTTTCCTCCTCTGGCCTCAGTTTCCCTAGTGTCACCTCCACTGATGAGAGTGGGAGGCCCCTCGCTGAGCAGGCAGCCCCATGGGGATTCTGTGAGACTCCCAGAAAGCCACACAGACACCTGAGTGGAAACTGCTCCTCACACGCAAGGAGCTGCTGCTTGCTTTGCTTGGGAGATAAGGAAACCAAGGCCCAGACAGGTTAATAGGCTTCTTATGGCCACACAGGAGACAGGGTCAAGCCCGCCAGCTAATCAAGGAAGCCTTTCCCCTCGTCTCCACACATTCCAGGGACCTGGGCACAAGGACAGAGCATTCCTAAGTGGTGATTTCCCTGAGGCCTGTCCCCACACTACAATTTCTAAGATACTCTAGGGATTGAACTTTTCCATCATCAATTTCTGCTGTAAAAATCCCAGAACTTGCAGAGAGTGAGTCCCTTCTTTCCTTATGGCAGGGACCTAGGGACACCCATGAAGCACTTGATTTAAAAATCTTGGGACACGTGTTTGTTTCAGCTGCCTCATCAGGACTTGCTGGACTCTCCAGCTTCCTCCTGGGCCACTCACATCTTCGCCTTCTCACCTACAACCCCTGCTCTCTTTCAGGCTCCAGGGCTTTGCACATTCTACTCCCTCTACCTGCAACATTCCTCCTTTTATCCATCTCTCTTTCCAGAATCACTTGTTTGGTGATCTAGGTACTGGGTACCTGGTTTATTCTCTGAGCACTACCTGTGGAGAAACTGTGGACTCCATCTACCGATGCATGAACGGCCAGGAGAGAAAAACTCAGAATGCTACAGAGCACATCAAAGGTGGAGTGGGTACCCAAAGTGAGGGTATCATTGCACATGAAGCTGCCTGCTGTATTATCCTCTTCTAGGCCCCAAGGAAATAAGGCAGATGGGACCAGGCTCAGAGGTCTGGGCACCTCTCTAGGGTCACTCAGTGGGTCTGGGTTGAGCAAGATGAACTCAAGCTCCTAACATGTCATTTAATAGTTTGCTTGTCACACTGGAGCTACTACCCAGACTCACAGTAAGAAAGAAAGACCCTCAGAGAGTCTGGCTGTCCCTCTTTGTGAGAAACACACACAAGTTATTTACACTCAGGTATCTAACAAATAACAGCACTTTGTCTCTTCTTTCTGCAAAAAGAAAAAAAAAATCCAGGGAATACAAGGATTTGAGAAATGTAACCAAATGATTGAGATGTGGAGGGAAGGGGTCTCTGAAACTCCTGAGGTTGAGGAAGGTGAATCCAAGGCCAACGGAATCAAATGCTTAAAGGCTACAGGTGGGAAGAAATGGTAGATATGGTGGAGGAAGCAACCAGGGAAGCCTTTCTTGTGGTTTCATTGTGAAACAAGAATGGGAGAATGCCCTTTCTGACCAAGATGGAGTAAGTGGTTGAAGTCCAGCCCTCCTGCCATTTGGAACTTTACACTGAAAAGATTAACAGTTTTTAGGCCTTGGTCATAGACAGTACCAAAATGCAATTCCCAAGGGACATGACGTCAGGCCTGTGATCATGGCAGTGCTCTGCCCAGAAAGATCTCTTGATCAGCACACAGAGAGGTAGCATCCAGAAAAAGAAAGGCATCTCAATGAACTCAGAAGACAGTGATCAGAGGTCAGGGCAGAAGAGCAAAGAGAAGAGAAGTAAGCAAAGAAGAGAATTCCAGAAATGTATAGAGGGGCCTCCTTGATGCCTCTGGCTGAAAATTAAATTGCATTAAGCATCTGCAAAGCTCAACAGGAAATGGCTAATGGAGGGAGGGTATGAACTGAGTGACGATTCAGAGGCTGTACAAGTGTGGCTGTCTGAGTCCTTGCCTGCCAGAGAGAAGCTATGGCTGAAAACATCACATATTCAGTTGAAACCCAGAAAGGTCAGATCCTGGAAGAGCTACACCATAACAACCCTAAAGAAGAAGTATTCTAGACCTGCCCTAACACAGATTTAAACAAGCTTTTAGAGTACCGAGCTGATATGTAAGTAAATTAACTTCTGCTAGAATAAAGGCAAGAATAAAAGCAACACTTTTCAAAGGAAGAAAACAAAATCCAGTCAGTCAACAACACAGATGAGCAATTATTTTTCACTTGAGACACTGGGATTAATAATCAAGAGAAAAACCAGAGAAAAACACAGAAACGACAGGGTTGATGCAAGCAGGAGACAATATGCTCAAAGATTTAAAGGAGAACAGGATTAAGATGAAGAGCAAAAATGAAAGCTTTGAAAAAAGTAGCCAAATGGAATTTATAGACATTAGGTGCTGCAGAAGAAAAGATAAGTGAATTTGAAGTCAGGGCAATAGAAAAGATCCAAACTAGCACAGAGGGAGAACGCAGCTGAAAATGAACAGTTTCTGTTGACCTGGAAGCATTATCAAGTACCTAACACACATATGATGAAAGTCTTAAAAGGGGAAGAAAGAGAAATGCTCAGTGAACCTCAGAACCCATAAATACACCATAAACAAATTACTGAAAACCAGTATTATAGAGAAATATTTAAAAGCAACTAGACAAAAAAATACATTAAATATAGAAGCAAAACAATCTGAGTGGTCTCGACATTTTATCAGAAACAAGAAAATTATCTTTCAGCATTTAAAAAATCATTTAATTTTCTCAACCTTGAATTCCATATTCAGAGAAAACATTCTTCATAAGAGAAATAAAAACCTTTTCAGTTGTGAGGTCTTGTACCAATGGACAACCTACAGTGTAAGAAACGCTAAAGAAAGTTCTTGAATAAAATAGGAAGTTTATTAATAGATTTAATTCAGATTTACAGAAAGAAAACCAAAGCACAGAAAATGGTGTGTAGGTAAACATAAAAGGCATCTTCCAATTTCTTAAACACTTTAACAAATAATTAACTATTTAAAGCTAAAATAGTAATTGTTAGATATATAACATGCGCAGTTGTATCTGTATGATAATAGTACAACAGGAGGGTAGCAGTGGGAAGTATATTGTTGTAAGGTTTTTATATGAATGTAATGTGTTATGATATAAATTCGTAGTAGACTGTAATACATTAAAGATGTATAAGTCACAGAGTGAAAAAGAGTTAATAGCAAAAAGTTAGCAGAAAACTAAAAAATACTTGCATAATACTAAAGATGGCAAAATATGACAAAAAAATTAAAATTAAGAACAAATGAGACAGAAAAAATGAAAGATGGTAAACCTAAATCCAACAATAAAGTATATTAAATGTAGGTGGATTAACTACATTAACAAAAAGGCAAGGATTTTCAGAAGTAAGAACCAATTGTATATAGATACTTCACATGTAAAATTACAGACTAAATGAAAAGGATGAAAGGAGATATACCATGTGAACACCACTCCTAAGAAAGTTGTACAATAAGTCAAGAAAGATTTCAGGAAGAGATAT